CAGGCCAGGTTTCTCAAAACCATTAGTGCCCCAGAAAACCTTGTCTGCAGATGAGCACAGCCCAGCGCATGGCTCAATCAGCACTCAGCCCTGCAAGGCCGCCTGCCAGCCCTCACACCTGAGCAGCCCTGTATCATGTGGTCAGGACAGGCACCGCTGTGCTGACGGATCCTCTTCCCAGATGGGTAAACTGAGGCCCAGGTTGGAGGAGGGAGCTGCTGTTTACTTGGCTCCTTTGGAGAGCGCTGCTCACTCTGGGAGCTCACCTTGAGCTACCTGAGCGGGGGATGGAGAATCTGCTGTGTCCCAGGCCCTGCCCTCCAAGAGCAGGAAATGCCCAAGGACCCAGGGCACCAGCCGGTGGGCAGAGTGGGGGTGGGTGGGTGGGGCTGTGCTGCAATCAGGGCGACTCAGCCAGTGGAGCCCAGTGTTGCCACAGCTTCCAATGTTCCTGAAAAAGTGGACATTCAGATATTCGTTTTAGAACAACGTACACAAGACTTATAATTTTAACCATTTTTTAAAAATATATTTTATTGATTTTTTACAAGAGGAAGGGAGAGAGATAGATAGCCGGAAACATCGATGGGAGAGAAACGTCGATCAGCTGCCTCCTGCACATCTCCCACCGGGGATGTGCCCGCAACCCAGGTACATGCCCTTGACCGGAATCGAACCCGGGACCCTTTAGTCCTCAGGCCGACGCTCTATCCACTGAGCCAAACCGGTTTAGGTGAATTTTAACCATTTTAAGTGTACAGTTCATGCCCTGACCGGTTTGGGATAGAGCGTTGGCCTGCGGACTGAAGGGTCCCAGTTTCGATTCTGGTCAAGGGCATGTACCTGGGTTGCGGGCACATCCCCAGTAGGGAGTATGCAGGAGGCAGCTGATCGATGTTTCCCTCTCACCATTGATGTTTCTAAATCCCTCTCCCTTCCTCTCTGTAAAAAAATCAAAAAAATATATTTTTAAAAAGCGTACAGTTCAGTGGCATTAAGTATATTCACAATGTCGTGCAACCATCACCACCTTCATCTCCAGAACTTTTTCACCTTCCCATCCGAAACTCTGTCCCCATGAAACTCCCTCTTTCCCCTCCCCAGGCCCTGGTGACCTCTAATCTACTCTCTGTCTTTAGGAGTCAGAGGACGCCAGGGGCCGCCTCACATAAGTGGAATCATACAGCGTTTGTTCTTTGTGTCTGGCTCTTTTCATTGAGCATAGCGTCCACGAGGTTTGTCGATGTTGTAGCACGTGTTCGTACGTCATCCCTTTTTAGGACTGAATAATATTCAATTGTGTGGATGAACCACGTTTTGTTTATCCATTCATTTATCGATAGACACTTGGGTTGTTTGCACTTTTCAGCTATTATGAATAATGCTGCTATGAACATGGGTTTACAAATCTCTGTTGTTGTTGTTATTCTTGTTTGTTTGTTTAAATCCTCACCAGAGGATATGTTTTCATTGATTTTTAGAGAGAGAGGAGGGGGTGGGGGGGAGAGAGAAACATCAATTGGTTGCCTCTGAGTATGTACCCTGACCAGGGATTGAACCCACAATCCAGATATGTGCCCTGACCAGGAATTGGACCCCAACCTTTCTGGTGTACAGGATGACGCTCCAACCAAGTGAGTCACCCATTCGGGGCCAGATATCTGTTTGAGCAAGGATTCCGGCAGATACTTGTACACTCATGTTCACAGCAGCATTAGTCAAAATTCAGATTAAAAAAAAAAAAAAGATAGATTTGCCCAAACAGCACTGCAGGTCTAACAAAGCCCACTGGAAGGCTGGATCCCACAGCTGGCTTGCAGTTCTGGTCTCAGAGCACACAGCTAGAACCATGAGGAAAAGGGCTCCTTGAGGCCGAGCAGCTTACCTGGAGTTTGGGGTGGGCTCACAGCATCTGGGAGGACTCCCCTTCCCCGAGCAGAGCCAGGGCCCCTCAGCCACTGTGCCTCTCCTTCGCCAAGGCTCAAATCTGCCAGTCCCGCCCGCCCGAGCCATTCCTGGGGCTGGAGGGCCAGTGATGGCACCCACAACTCTCACCCCCTCTCCTACAAGTCTCAGTTCGAAAGTGAGCACTGCACGGGGCTCCTGATTTAAGATGGCAACCCCCTACCCCCATCTCCACCTCCCAATGCCCCCCTGTTCCTGTGCTAACCCCCTCCCTGTCTTGGTTTTCCTCATGAACCTTATCATCTGTCAGACGAAATGATTTACCGTCTTGATTCTGTTTCCTCCAGCCTTCCTGCCACGAGGGCAGGACCGTCTGGGGTTTGTTCACGGCTGCGTCTCCAGCTCACAGGGCAGTGCCTGGCACGCAATAGGCGCTCAGTAGGTTTTGGCTGATGATGAATGAATACCCCTGTTCATATCTCTGCCCTGACCCCGGTGCCCACGTCTGAAATGCTGCTGGTGAGTCACTTCTCTGGGCTGAGCCCTGCCAGCTCCAGCTGCTGTTTCATGTCAGGCCTCTGCGGCCACGTCTGTCATCTACACCTTGTTTCGATTCATTGACGGCTCTGAGACGGCTTGGCAGTGGGTGGCAGGATGGGCAGCCCATCCACCTCAGGCCCAGCCGGGGTGCCTCGTGTGGGTCCAGCAGACGGCGGCCCCTTGTTGAGTGACTGTTGAGTCCTGCCGGGGTCTCCAGGTCCTGGGAACCGCGGAGCCGGTCTCTGGGGCCCTTGCCCAGGACTTGTGCGCGGAAGTCTTCACTGGCTGCTCAGGACTTCCTCTGCCTCCCACTCCCACTGGGCCCTGCTCCTTAGGGCGCTTTTCCCGGCCACCCCATCTCTAGGACAGAATCATCTTGAGGTACACGCCTGCCTCTTGGGTCACCTGGGCAGTGACCCAGATGTCATGAAAGGCGAGAAAACCCGGAACAAAGAGGAAACGGGAGAGGCAGGAGGCTGGAGCGCCAGTCCCTAGTGGGATCCTCCAGACTCACCTCTCCCGCGCTCATTTATTCATTCAACAAACATCCGTTGAGGCTTGACGTGTACCAGGCACGGCCCTAGAATCTGAGGACCCGTGGGGAGCTTCCTCACACTGTCCCCACTGCACCCAACTTCAGGGTGGCCCTCCAGAGTCCATGCCCACTGCAATGCTTTCCTGACACTCCCTCCCCAGGCCCAGGGTCTCTGTGCCCACCCCCACAACACCTCACTGTCATGACTTGTTCGCCTGCCTCCCATCCATCCCCAGGGCGATGTGTGTTGCCTGAAGATAGGACCTGTGTCTTATCACCATTGTGTCCCGGTGCCCAGCATAAGGGCTGGCATACAGCAGGCGCCCAATAAATGTTTGTCGAGTGTAGCTGGGGAGGCCAATCACCTCATTCTCAGGAAGGGAGTGGGTTGGGGGAGCCTGAGGGGCATGGCTAGCCATAGGCTGCAGAGGTGGACCCAGGAGAGTGAGCAGGGGAGGAGGGAGGCACCCTCTCCCTACCTAGGAAATGCCTGCTTGGCTGCTGAGGGGCCCCATAGAAATGGCCCCTCGCCTTAGCCACTCAGTGAGGGTTTTTCCTGCAGTCCCTCCGCCCCTGCCCCCCAGTCCTTGAACCCTGGGGGCTGTTCGAGGCTCCTGCGCCCCTCCCATGGCTTGTGTTTGGGGGAGGTCGGACAGGGGCTCGCCCCTGCAGTTTAACCTGAGTTGCCTCCTGCCCCCCAATGGAAGCAGGCCCAGTAAACACAGCATGATCCTTTTCGGCACTGACAGTCTATAGGGGATCCCAGGACCCTGCCACCACTGAAACCCCCTCACCCCCCCAGCACGAGGAGGTGGGCACCCCTGGGGCAGGCTCTGGGGGAGAACACGTTGATTCAGCTGGGGTGAGCTGAGGATCTGGTGTAGCAGCCCCCAGCCCCTTCCCAGCACCCTGTCCCTCTGCACCCCAGCCCCAGAGTCACCCCGCACTCACTCCCTCTGTCCTGCCTCTGCTGGGCCACCTTCAACTTCCTCTCCAAAAGGCCTCAGTTTCAAGGCCCTCCTTCTCTGACCCCCTGAGGGGAGTCAGGTGCCTCCTCTGGGCTCCTGAGGCCCCCACCCACGCTCACAGATGACCCCTGGTGACCAGTACCCATCCACTGGGCTGAGGTCTCTAGGCTCCACTGAGTCTAGTCCAGTTGCCTGTCTTCGGGCTCAGGTTTCAACTCCAAGCTCCACCACTCGCCAGCTGGGGGACCTGGGGCACGTCACTAACCCTTCTAAGTGGCCTCAGTTTCCCCATCAGCAGGATGGGATAATAACAAGGGAATTTGAGGATAAAAGGAGGTGACGCCTGGTGCACTGAACACTGCCAGCTGCTATTGTTATTCGTCTTGCCCGCTCCCTAGGCGTAGCAAGGGCCCAGCTTGAGGTGTGTTGACCAAGTGAAAGAAGGGACAGAGATGCAGCCTGCTTCAGAGGAGGAAGCAGCCTGCTCCTCCTGCGTGGGGTGGGGAGTTGAGTGTGGGCACTGAGTCAGGGAAGACCTGGCCTCAGGCTGGGGGTCTCGGATGCAGGAGCTCAGGGGTGGGGCAGAGTGAGGGAGACCCTGCCTCCCAGCCCTTTCCAGGCAGCCTCCTAAGTCATAACCACAGAGCGCCTGGCTGGCCCCGCCCACCCAAGCTTCCTGGGAGTACAGGTGAAGGGTGAGTAGGGTGAGTCCTAGGGCTTCTGAGTGACAGGGCCCACAGGAAGGCCGCCCCAGAACTGGCAGCCACTGGGGGCCTGATTCATGGCTTTCCAGTAAGTGGGTTAACGGGATCCCAGAGCCCCGGGCTGGGCTAGTTCCCCTGGCTGAGTCAGGTCAGCCAGCCCCTGGAGGCAGTGGGCCTTGCTGAGCCTTTGGGCAATCCCCTTGGCTGCCCGCCCCCCCCCCCCCGCCCCCGCATCTCCCCAAAGCCCTGGGGCCTCTCCAAGACCTCATACCTGAGCCTCCTGGGTCTGAGCACCTGTCTTTCCCCACCTGGACCCCCTTCCTCTCAAGCTATGAGCACCTTTCTCTGCACCCCCCAACTCCATGGTCAGTGTCAAAGCCATGGTCCAGGTTCCCTAGCCTGCCCTCCTGAGGCCAGATACTGGGCCCACAGCTGGAGCTGGTGTCCTGAGCCCCAGATCCAGAGCCCGAGTCCACTGGCCCAGTCCAGAGGCAGGGGTCTCGGCCAGAGCCCCCCAGTTCCCGTTAAGGCTCATTTCCTCCTGGCAGCCCCACCCCTTCTGGTGACCTACAGCCCCGAGTGGCAGGGACTGAGCCACTCACTGGGGGGACAGGTCCGACAGCATTCCGCCTCCGAGGATAAAACCAGGGGTGACCTGCAGGGAACTCTGAACACTCCTGTGGCCAGCACGGCACAGCTCGCCAGGCCGTGGCCCCACCCCCACTGGACATGCTTGTGTCCAGAACCCCCCCAGCCCTGGGTGGGGGCTGCCTCAGGATTTTAACCTCCCTGCTGCTTCTGGCTTCTACCGGTGAGTCCGAGGACCTGCTGCCCCTCCCTCTCTACCTCCCTCTCTGCCCCTTCAGGATCACCTCCTCCTCCCTCTAGACTCAGCCACCTTCCTTCCAGGGCCTGCCGGAATCCAGTCTCCTCCTTTGCTCTCTCCCCTGCACCCCCCCACCCCTCTCTGTTATTTGACTGCTCCATGATGCTCAAGGTTTAAATGAGACACTGCAGGTAGGTACTAAGAGGTTTCATATGCTCCATCTCTGGTGGTTATTGTTGACCAAATTCATTATTGTCTTCATCTCTCTCTCTCCTGTTTCTTTATTTTTAATTCTTTTGTTGTTCTTAATTCCCACTGGAGGATATTTTTTCCATTGATTTTTAGAGTGGAAGAGAGGGAGGGAGGTGTGGGGGGGGGGGAGAAACATAGATGTGAGAGAGGCACATCGATTAGTTGTCTCCTGCATGTGCCTGGGCCAGGGATCAAACCTGCAACCCAGGTACCTGCCCTTGATAGAGAATCAAACCCTTGACCCTTTGGTGCTTGGGCCGACACTCTAACCACTGAACCACACTGGTCAGGGCTCCCTCCCTCCTGTTTCTTCCATCTTCTGGGGCAGCAGCATCCAGGCCTTGGGCTTGGGGTTGGAGGTGAAGGAAGTCTCTGGTCGCTGACTTAGGTCTGAGGGAGGAAGCCCGAGAGGGTCAGGTGTGTGCCCACTCTCCGTGAGAGGTGTCCCAGGGGTAGCTTCTCCCCCCCCCCAGCAGGTGGGATGAATCCTGAGCATGAGCTGGAGGAAGCTGATGGGATGTGCAAGGCTCAGCTCACAATGAGAGCATGAGAGTTCCATCCCGTGCTCTCCAGGCTCCAGGCAATGCCCAACCTGGGAAGGCCTGGAGGGGCCTGGGAATGAGAGACTGGAAAGGGTCACTGGGCCTGGGGGGAGGTCCACTCCACTGGACGCTGGGGGGCCATTCTCTCCACTGGGCACTTGGGGGCCTCCTCTCAAACTGGCCTGACCCTTCCCTTCTCTTGTCCTCAGACACTCTCAGTGCTGCCAAGACACCTGGTGAGTAGGAACCGCCCTGAGGGGAGGAGGCATGGAGGGCGTCTGAGGGGAAGGGCAGTGTCTGTGTGTCTGTCTGCGGGGGGGGGGGGGGGGGGGGGGGGATGGGGGTGGTCAGAAGGAGGCAGAGTTTGGATTAGAGAGCGGGCAGGAAAGGAGGCCCAGAGGACAGAGCAGAGACTGGGGACTGGAGGAGAGAGGGCCAAGAGCAGCTGGAGTCCAGAAGGGCAAATGGCCAAGGAGGTAAAAGGATAGAGTTGTGGGCAAGGCTGAGGGCTACGTGGAGGGGAAAGGCCAGCCAGAAGGGAGGGCAGAGGAAGAGGAAGAGCAGGTCAGGGGAAGACATAGCAGAGGAGGGGGTCCGTGCAGGGCAGAGGGCGAGGCAGTGGAGCACAGGCCTCTGGAGATGGGGCAGAGGGAAGGGGCTGAGGACCATGCTGAGGGGGTGACAGAAAACTGGACCCTCCTCCGCCAGCCTCCCCTGCCTGTGGGAAGCCGCAGCAGCTGAACCGGATTGTGGGTGGTGAGGACAGCGCCGACGCCGAGTGGCCCTGGATTGTGAGCATCCAGAAGAACGGGACCCACCACTGTGCGGGCTCCCTCCTCACCAGGCGCTGGGTGGTCACCGCCGCCCACTGCTTCAAGGGGTATGGCAGCCAGTCTCCTCCACTCGAGTCCCCAGCTTCCTTCCTGCCCCACACCCGGGCTCCTCACACAGCCACGGCTGCCACCGCCGGTTCAGTCTGGGTCCCTCTGGACCGACCCGGCTCCTCCCAGAAGGCTCTGCTGCTGCTTTTGTGGGGACTTCTTGTGCTTGCTCTTCCCCCAACCACCCTTCCCGGACCCTTCCTGGCCATCAGTGGTTCCTGCCTGACCCCACCCCCTTCCCTCTTCCTCCCAGCACTCTGAACAAGCCATCCCAGTTCACGGTGCTGCTGGGCGCCTGGCAGCTGGAGAATCCTGGTCCCAGGTCCCAGGAGGTGGGCATTGCCTGGGCGCTGCCCCACCCTGTGTACTCCTGGAAGGAGGGCTCCCGTGCAGACATCGCCTTGGTGCGCCTTGAGCACTCCATCGAGTTTTCTGAGCGAATCCTGCCCATCTGCCTGCCTGATTCCTCCATCCATTTCCCTCCGAACACCAACTGCTGGATTGCAGGCTGGGGGAGTGTCCATGATGGAGGTGCGTCTCTTCTCCACCATGTGGTTGGGGACAGATAAGGAGATACGGACAGAGGGTGGTGGACACTAAGAGACACAGGTGCCCTGGCAGCAAAGCTTAGAGGCCAGTGGCATAGCATGACAGACAAAAAGATGGACTACAACCCAAAGATGTGGCATCATGGAAGCCTAGGTAGACAGTTTCAGGTCATTTTTAATGAAAGGTATCTTCCGCTGTGTTCTGAGCCAGAGCAACAAAGATATTAAGTGATCTAGAAATGGCTGGAAGGAGGCATGTGTGGGGCCTAGCTGAATGCCAGGAATATGAAAACAGCCCCAAGATTCCAACATGGGCGTGGCATCCCTGGTGGCAGCATGCTGTAATTGCAGGCAAAATTCCCAGGAGGAAATACAGTCTCCAGGACTGTAAAATATAATAATTGCAAACTGAGTTTGGAGGTTTGGAAAACACCATCTAGAAACACAAAGCAGATGAGATAAGGTAAGAGGCAGTGAGGCAGGAAAAGACAGATGAGAGAGAGAGAGACTAAGAAAGGACAAAAGATCAGAAAAATAGGACTTCAACCAGATTCCAGAAGAACTAAGAGAAAGGACACCATTTGTGGAATCTGGAGATCCCACTGACAGGTGTCAGCCTCCCCATGGTCCATAGGGGCTTCTGTGAGAACTGGAACTATGGGCTGTGGGGGCATGTGGGGGGCGGGGGGAGGGTGTGTCTACAATTCCTCCCACCTCCAGGCTGTCAGGAAATTCCTCAAGTTTTCATGACATTCAACACCTAATGCTCACTTATTGAACACTTCACCTATCGCAGTCCCCATGCTGGGTAAAGCAGTGCCTGAGACGGGACAAACCTGGACCACTGGGTCTACCCATCTGTGGGCATCAGAGACCTTGTTTGACAGTTCAGAGCGTAAAGCTGCATGCTCACGTCTCATTCAGTAGGTCCGGAGGTGGAGGCCTGGAATTCGGGTTTTCCGCAACCCTCTTTGGAGACCTTGACAGAGGTGACCCATTAGACTTTGAGAAGCGCTGCCAAAGGGGATGAGGCAACCCGGAGAACTTCCCAGGCCTGACTCTCTCTTCCCCGTTCCCAGTGCCCCTGCCCCACCCTCAGACACTACAGAAGCTGAAGGTTCCCATCATCGACTCGGAAACCTGCGGTCGCCTGTACTGGCGGGGAGCTGGGCAGGAAGCCATTACCGAGGACATGTTGTGCGCAGGCTACCTGGAGGGGCAGCGTGATGCCTGTCTGGTGAGCACCCCACCTTCTTCCCTGAGATTCCTCCTGGCTGGCTGGGCCTCTCCCAGAACCAGCTGTGGCCTGCAGTCCCCTAGGTGCTTGCAGAACAGGCCTCCAGGGGCTTCGGTCACTCACCCATCTGTTCACACATCCAACATAGACTGGGCACCTCAGGTGTCCAGCCCGCCCTCTCGGGGAGCTGTCCCGGGTGGAGGATGGCAGGATGGTGCCCAATGCCTGGCCTTGGACATGGTAAGGCCTGGTTGCAATTCCTACCCTACCCTGCTGCCCGTAGCTGCCAACTTGGGCAAGTCATGTCTTCTTTCTGAGCCTCAGTTCCCCATCCGTGCCACAAGTTACAGTACTCTCTGCCTCACCGAGGAGGGAGGAGGTCTCACACGGGGTGTTTGTCACCAGAAGCGAGCCCAGGAGGCACGTCCTACCCGCCCTCCCTGCCTGGGTGGAGTTCAGGGCCTCAGGATGGATAACTGCCTTCTCCCCACAAAGGGAACCGCCCGCCGCCGTCGCTGTGTCGGACCCTGGGCTGTGCCCACCCGCTGCCTCACGTGGGTGGGTCCCTAACCTGCCCTCCTCTCCGCAGGGCGACTCCGGAGGCCCCCTCATGTGCGAGGTGGAGGGCGCCTGGCTGCTGGCCGGCATCATCAGCTGGGGCGAGGGCTGTGCGGAGCGCAACCGGCCCGGCGTCTACATCAGCCTGGACGCCCACCGGTCCTGGGTGCAGAGGATCGTGCAAGGGGTGCAGCTCCGCGGACACTCCTACGCGAGCGGGAGCCGGCCGTCGGGGTTAAGAATCCTCCGGGGACGCCGGGCGGCCCGGGGCGGCCCCGCGGCCTGATCACGTGGTTTCCTCGCTGTAAATAAGCCATCTACCTCTCCCGGGCGCCCGCCCTCCGCTGGGAGGCCCCGCCCTCGCCCCGCCCCGGGCTCAGGCTCCACCCCTGGGGCCGGGAGCGCCTTTGTGTATATATGTTAATGATTTTTACAGTTATTTGTAATCCCGCCCGCATATTTTATTTATTCCCCCAATTTCAATAAATTATTTATTCCCCAGATCCTGTTTTTTTCCCCCTTGTATGGGGACATTGGGGAGCAGGGGTCCACCTGGGGTTCAACACCCTGACCCCTGACCTTTGCACTGTCCTTTTATAGAGAGAAGGCAGGAGACCCAGCTCTGCCACATGAAAGCACCCCAAGGGTTTGGTGGCTGCAGGGCCCTGCCGATTGGGTTTCCAAAACAGGGCTGGTGGGAGAAACCACGCCCCCTGCGCCCAGAGGCCTGTCTCCGGGTTTGAGCTGAGGCAGCCACGCCTCGCACCCCCAGGAGCTGACTCACCAGTGACTCACAGCTGATTCCGCGAATCCTCCCTGTGGAGGAAGGAGCACAACAATGAGACAGCAGGGCTTCAGGCTCTGCCTCATCTTGGGCTTGAGTCACCTGCCTGCACCCACAGGGGTGGGGTGAGAGCAATGTCCCAAGCCACAAGGAGTCGCCTGGCTTCCTGCCCTGGGGGGACCCAGCTAACACTCTTGTTCCCTTAGGATGGCCTTTTCCACTGTCGGCTCTTCTGCGGCTAGGCCTCCTTCCTCTGGACCAACCCTTTCCCCCCTCCCCTCCCTTCCCCTCCCTCCCCTCCCCTCCCCTCCCCTATATCTGGACCCCTGTCCTAGTCCACCTGGGCTTCCCTGGAATAGTTCATGCAAAAGAGATTCACTCTAAAGCCAAGTCAAGAAAACAACTAGGTCCAGTCACGCTAACAGCGAGGAGTGCCTCCGGCCAGAACCAGGCAGTGAAGTGAGTTTTTGAGAGGGGAGTGCAGTTGTTTGTTGGTTGGTTGGTACCCTTTATTGGAACTACTTTTCTAAAACATTTGTTCCTATTGTTTTGATCACCCTTAGGTTATTACCAGATCACACGAAATGTTGTGGGGTTGGTTTTGTTAAAATAAACAAACAAATGCTAAACTGGCCTCCTGCTCACCTGGAAACCAGCCTGGGGAGTGAGTGGGTGGCAGCTGAATCCCAGGACCTCCCCTTTGTGACCTAGTCCTCTCTTTACCTGTCACTCTGGTCTCCTTACCCTCCTCCCTCCCCTTCAGTAAACAGATGAGCTCCTTAAAGTGACATGCTGACAAAAGCTTTTGAGAAAGGGATGCCTAGAAATATCTGCCAGGGTGGGGAAGCTGCCCCATGAATAGCAGGATACTCCTGGGTGAGCTGGGTTTTCTCTGAGTTGGATGATCAGCCTCCAGGAAGCCCCTGACCCTGAGGGCACCCTTCTGCCCATCTCGAGGAACCTGAGACAGGCTGGGCCCTCAGTGGGGAGCAGGTGCTTCAAAGTTTGACAGGATTCCACAGAGGAGCCCCTTCGCTCCTTGGTTGGAGGTGGGCCCCGGAACATGCCCCAAATCTAGGCCACTCTCAGGGGGAAGGCCTCACTGCTTTGGCCCCATAGATACCCTCTGCAGCCTCTGGAAGCTGCAGACAAGACCCTTCAGCCTGCCCAGCTGTTCCCTCCAGGAGGAGTCTCCTCCAGTGGGAATAGGGCCAATATGCCCATCCAGGCAGATGCCTCCACTCACATTTAACCTCCCACAATGAACAGCCCTTTATAGAGTCCTTCTTACCTTCCCAAGGGCAGGAGTGGAGACACCACAGTGACAAATGTCATTTCAGCAGAAGCTGACTTAGCTGCAGGCTGTGATGTCTGGCTATTGCTCCTTCACAGGCTCCTTCCTTAATTCTTTAACCATCGAGGAGACTTCCCCTCCCCAGTCTGGGACCTCCCAACTCTTCCACTCTGCATCCAGAACAGTGTGAAAAAACACATTTAATCCCAGAACATTCCCCTAGTTGGCAGACTTCTTTGGTTGGCTCAGCCAACACCCATTCCGATCCCCATCCTCTGCTTCCTCCACCGTAGAGATTGGAAAAGCTAAATACTCACTCCTACAATCTCTGGCAAGGTCACCAGTGCCTATGGGACTGAGTGTTGGCCAATGAGATGAAAGCAGATTTCTGATGGGTGGTTTCTTGGGAAGCTGTTTTTTCCTGATAAAAGGGACATTAGCCTGTCCCACCTTCCTCCTCCTTCTAGACTTGAATGCAGGAGAAGAAGCCAAACTTAAGAGGGTACATACTGTATGATTCCATTTACTAGTATATGACATTGTGGAAAAGGCAAAATTGTAGGGACAGAGAGCAGATGGGTAATTGCTAGGGGTTGGAATGGGTGAAGGATTGGCCACAAAGGAGCATGGGGGATTTTTTTTTTATAGTGATGGAATTGGCTCTTTATCATGATTTAGGTGGTAGTTATGTAACTGAATGCATTTATCAAAACTTAAAGAACTATACACTAAAAATGGTGAATTTTACTGTATGTAAACTACTCCATAAGCTTGATTTTTTTTAATATATATTTTATTGATTTTTCACAGAGAGGAAGGGAGAGAGATAGAGAGTTAGAAACATCGATGAGAGAGAAACATCGATCAGCTGCCTCCTGCACATCTCCTACTGGGGATGTGCCCGCAACCCAGGTACATGCCCTTGACCGGAATCGAACCTGGGACCTTTCAGTCTGTAGGCCGACGCTCTATCCACTGAGCCAAACCGGCTTTGGCAAGCTTGATTTTTTAAAAAAACCAACAACAGCCAGAACCGGTTTGGCTCAGTGGATGGAGCGTCAGCCTGCGGACTGAAAGGTCCCAGGTTCGATTCTGGTCAAGGGCATGTGTCTGGGTTGCGGGCACATCCCCAGTGGGAGATGTGCAGGAGGCAGCTGATTGATGTTTCTCTCTCATCGATGTTCCTAACTCTCTATCTCTCTCCCTTCCTCTCTGTAAAAAATCAATAAAATATATTTAAAAACAAAACAAAACAAAAAAACCAACAACGAAAATGTGGAATCCTCCTTGACGCTTCTCTTTCTCTAAATTCAAACCATCAGAAAATCCTATTGGTTCTATTCTATCTTCAAGTCATGTGCAAAAATGACTACTTCTTTTCACGCTGGTCCAAGCCACTTCCCTCTTTCTCTTGGATTTCTATGATAGCCTCCTACCCGGTCCCCCTGCTTCTGTTGTTGCTCTTACCAGTCCATGCTCAGCACAGCAGCCAGAGTGGTTCTCTTAAAACCTAAGTCACATCATGTCATTCTTCTATTCAAAACCCTCCCATGACTCCTTACTTTACTTAGAGGAAATGGCATGACCTTTCTGGCCTTCCTTCTTACCTCTCCTCTCCTTGCTCCCTGTGCTCCAGCCACTTTGGCTTCCAGCTGTCTTGTGGAACACAATAGGCATGCTCCTGCCCCAGGGCCTTTGCACTGCAGCTTCCTCTTCCCCCACATGACTGCATGGCTCACGCCCTCACTTCCTACAGGTCTTTGCTCAAATATGACCATGTCACCATCCTGTTTACAAGAGCAGTGTTCCCCTCCCACATTGCTTCTTTTCTTGCTTTCTCTTCTTCCAGGACATTGATTACTGTGGAACATGCTACATATTTTACTTGTTCTTTGTTTATTGTCCCCTCCCAAACACACACAACTAGGAGATAAGCCTCTGTCCCTGTATTTGTCCTATTCTGTTTTACTGTTTACTAGACTATCTTACCCAAGAAATATTTTCAGTTCATTAGAGGTTAGACCTTTATTTTATCCATCTTGGGACAGTCAGTGTCCAGAAAAAAGGGCCTGGCAAAATAGCAGATGTTATAAACGCTTCATGAGTCCATGGTAAGGAGTATGATCTATTTCATCAGGATGGTGGACATTGTAGACATATCTGCTTTGTTTCTCTAATGAATCACTCAAGCACCACATTCTCTCATGAGCAGAATTTCATTCTCTCTTGGGGCTGCCCCACTCTCTCCACGAATTGTCCAAGAGTCCTAGGGGTTTATTTAGTCCAAAGAGAGGAATTCTATGAGAATTGCAAAGTCCAGCAATCCTCCAATTTAGTTCCATTGGGTCAAGGTCAAGTGGTGATGCGGATGAACAGTGACCCCCCACAGTCTGAGAGACCAACCCCACCTCCACTTTCATGCCCTGGTGTCGCTCTTGCTCATCTCACTCACTGCCAGCCTTGTACTGGTGTCCTCCACGTGCGACCTTGGGTTGCAGGTCTTGAAGGTCACACACACACAGGCCCAGTCATCGTTCCCCAGAGCAGAGTGCCTCAGTGGCCTTGTCCAAAGGGCTTGCCAGGTACTTATACCCCCTCCGCTGGGGACTGACCTTTGGAACACTTCACAACCGAGATTCTCTTTCACTTAGTCCAGTGGTCCGCAAACTCATTAGTCAACAGAGCCAAATATCAAGAGTACAACGATTGAAATTTCTTTAGAGAGCCAAATTTTTTAAACTTAAACTATATAGGTAGGTACATTGTTATTAACTTGATTAGGGTACTCCTAAGCTGGCCTCAATCTGATTGAGGTACGTTGGCTGAGGTCGACCCCTTCCAACTCGCCCATCCACACTTGTCTTGTATACTTGTTTCAGATACATGAGTGAGGATGGGAGAATTGGAAGGGGTCGACCTCAGCAAACGTACCTCAAAACAATGTACCGCCCCGCGCAGCGTCTCCCGTTGCCCCACCAACCGACACCCCCCTCCCCCCACTTCTTCTAACGCCACTTCTTCTAAAGCCACTTCTTCAAAATAGACTGGCCCAGGCGGAAAACCGACTTCTGCGCATGGGCCACGAAGTTTCAATCGCACTGTAGGTGCGCCCCCGCACGTGGTATTTTGTGCAAGAGCCACACTCAAGGGGCCAAAGAGCCGCATGTGGCTCGCGAGCCGCGGTTTGCCAACCACTGACTTAAGACCATATTCCACTTGCTAAGTCATTATCTTTCCCCTCTGGAATTTCCCAGGATCCAGACCTGCCCAGAGAGTTCCCTACCAGAAAAGCCCACCTAGAGTCCTTTAAAAACCTCTGGCCCCCCCGAGAGGCCGAGCGGGCTCGTGGACACCGGGTCGGGAGCCTCCGGTGCCGCTGGGGTAGATGGCTCCCTCTCCTGCAGCCCTGAACTGCCGGAGCGGGT